TTTACTCATGCTTTCACTCAGTCCTTTTGCACATCCTGTCACTATGTCATTTTGCTCATCCTGTCACTCAGTCATTTTACTCATCCTTTCACACAGTCCTTTTACTCATCCTGACACTCAGTCCTTTTGCACATCCTGTCACTATCATTTTACTCATGCTTTCACTCAGTCCTTTTGCACATCCTGTCACTATGTCATTTTGCTCATCCTGTCACTCAGTCATTTTACTCATCCTTTCACACAGTCCTTTTACTCATGCTTTCACTCAGTCCTTTTGCACATCCTGTCACTCAGTCCTTTTACTCATCCTGTCACTCAGTCATTTTACTCATCCTTTCACACAGTCCTTTTACTCATGCTTTCACTCAGTCCTTTTGCACATCCTGTCACTCAGTCCTTTTACTCATCCTGTCACTCAGTCATTTTACTCATCCTGTCACTCAGTCATTTTACTCATCCTTTCACTCAGTCCTTTTACTCATCCTGTCACTTAGTCCTTTCGCACATCCTGTCACTGTCATTTTACTCATCCTGTCACTCAGTCATTTTACTCATCTTTTCACTCAGTCCTTTTGACTGATGAATGAATGAATGAAAGAGGAGACATGAGTCTTCCCCTTGATGAAGGACACGTCCTGAGAGAACAAACACCTGAAGACATCAGCAGCAGCCGGTGTGATGGCGTCTGATGCTGCTGCAGCTCTGTGGAATTTGTCTGTGATGATCCGCTCTGATTTATGTCCAGGGAAAACCACAACAGTCAAAAGTCTTTTCAGAGCCAGAGACACTTTTCTTACGGCCGACAAACCGCTGACTCTGCTCCGATGATGATGTGTAATATATGATATATGTGGGTGGAACAGATTGTTAGATAAATGATAGTGTGAGGTCAAACAGTATCTTTCATACAGACACTCCTCCAGAGAGACATCCAAACAGTATCTTTCATATAGACACTCCTCCAGGGAGACATCCAAACAGGCTCTAATCACCTTCTCCTTACACAACAGCCTCTGAATACACTGGGCCTCAACCTCCACCACTTCATTCACTTAAGTACACGCCATGTTTCTACTTCCTGCTACACGCTCAGCCTCAGGCTGATATGAAGCAAACCTGTGACTCAGTAGGTTAGCTTCACAGAGTATGTTGCCATAGTAACTGGGTTACACTGATCTTTCTGAAACAGGTCCAGTTTGTTTCTTTAACAGTGTAATTTTGTCTCCATGGTGCTGATAACTGTCCACAGAGGCGTTAGGTTTTTGGGTCCACCTGTCCACCTTTCCCCCTGTCCATCTGACCCCCTGTCCATCTGTCTCCCTGTCCACCTGTCCATCTGTCCCATTCTCCCATGTTGAGGGCGTGTCCTAGATGCTGCAGAAAACAAGTGTTGACCAGTAACACTGTTCTGTGTTTGACTCCGCCCCTCCATCCAGGGTGGCGGCGCTGGGCCTGGCGGCAGGTGTCCTGCTGGTTCTGCTCCTCTTCTGTCTCTACCGGGTCCTCTGCCCACGAAACTATGGCCAGAATGGCGTCACTCATGGGCGCCGGCGCAGAGGGGACTTGCCCTGTGATGACTATGGCTACTCGCCACCCGTCAGCGAGATCTCGCCACTGCTGCTGAGGGGCCACAGTATGGTGAGACACAACACGTACACGTAAACACAGACACAGATCATTTAATCTGATGTGCAGCAGACATGATGGACGTACAGCAGGACGACGGGACGCCACGGGAGGACTGTGGGGAGGGGGAGATAAAAGATGGCGGCCCTCTTCAGAGTCCTGACTGTCAGATGAGACATGAGATGCACACTGAGACAATTCAGTGTCACTAGTTGTCTCTGATGTCCGTCCACAGTAAACATCCAATAATCTGATTAGAAACCAGAGAGACAAAAACCTGCAGCTCTGTCAGGTAGCTCCGCCCACCTGCTGCTGACATCACAGCAGACCATAGAGTCAGGAACAGTGTCAACAACAGACAGAAGAAGAATGGCCTCATGTGTTCATCAGTGACAGCTGTGAACACATGATTGAGTTTAAAGCTGCAGCAGGTGGAGACTTTATCATGTCCACACACAGAGGACACATCAGGCTTTCTGTCAGACAGACAGAGAACTGGACAGATGATCAGCTCAGTGACACTCATTCACACATTCATTCATTCACTAATTCACTCATTCACACATTCATTCATTCACACATTCACACATTCGCTCATTCACCTGACTTCAGTCACACAGTCATGTTTCCTGCAGGAACACTTCCTGACCATGTGGCAGAACAACAACAGACTGTGTCTCTGTGTGTCTCTGTGTGTCTGTGTGTCTCTGTGTGTCTCTGTGTGTCTCTCTCTGTGTGTCTGTGTGTCTGTGTGTCTCTGTGT